GAGGCATCAAGGAGCGTGTGCATAATTTTATTAAGGCGGCAATTATGTGTATGAAAGTCTATGTGATATAAATATGTAAAAAAAAGAACCCAAAAATAAAGTAATATTGCCTAAATAATTTATATAAAACAAGTACTTTCTATGCAAAAAACAAAACCGGTTAACGTAGTCCAAAGTTATGCGGTAACATACATAAAAAACAAAATAATAATATTCCGGCGAATTGATAATCTGCTGCTTTTTGTGAAGTCGATTAATAAGTATTTTATGTATGTTAAAAAATTAAGACCCTCAAAAATATTTACGAGTATAGCCCGAATCTTGGAAAAAAAGGACTTTTATTGAATAAATACCTGTGCTGTTTTGCCTAAAGAGATCTGCTTTATGATAATGCTAGAACTTTGATAATGCATTGCGAAAAATTCAGTTCAGGTTTGTTTGCGAAACTGTAGTTTGTTTTAAATTGTATGCATTATCAGCAAAAGTTTCAATCACTTTTCTTTAGCTATGTACATACATACCAGTGATGGAATTTAGAAATTTCAAAAAGAATAAGTACGCTAAAGTCCTGATAACAATTGTGATTTGCTTAGATGAGATGAGATGAGATGAGATGAGATGAGATGAGATGAGATGAGATGAGATGAGATGAGATGAGATGAGGATTCGAACCTCAGATCTCTCGAGTGGCACGCCAGGACCTTGCTCACTCGTCCATTGCGACTGTTGGACCTGATCCATCTTATCCAGAATTGTCCCGTATATCTTATACTTTAGTTCAGTTTTAATATTAAAGCATAAATTTAGGATGCATTACCGGCCCGCTATTTCCGCTGCATTCACAATTTTGCACACCACCTGCATAACGAAGCCTCAATGCTCCCCAAAGAGCACACAATTTTATGCCCAAGCAGCTATTACACCTCCCTTTTCTATAATGCCATTGTCGCAGTTGAACCAACGCCCATCGCAGATGAAGAGCTTCATCGACCTCGAGAGACCCCATGTTACTCTGACGAATTTGGCGTCTGGATACTGTAGAAACGACTCCGGCATACCCATCGTGTTTGTGAAGGTAGCCCACCCAACAGTAACCACCTCTTCAAACACCCCCTTGCAACTACTTCCCTGGGTCCGACCACGTCGAAACAAAACTTTTCCTTTTCCCCCAGGATATAAACCTTTCAAACCTTTCTTAAATACATTGCTAATAAATTGTATTTTTCGAGATACTTTTGCTTGCATTTGAGCTAAAATAAGTGGAATATTTAAACTGTTTTTGAACTTTTTTCAAACTGAACTGGTTCAAAAAAAACTTGAATAACTCAGCCTAAACTTTACCGATTCAGACTTATGAGGCATCATTGGAAAATAACTTTCTCATCCTTTTTATTTCTTTCTAAACAAGCTCATTCAAAGGACAAAAGAGTAAGATAAACCAGCGTCATTTTATGTTGAATTAAGATGTGTTGGTATTTTATAAAGAACAAATTGGGACGTGAATCAGTTTTTTTTAATTAAATAAAAAGGGTGAGAAAATACCTTTCCACTAATACTTCGGAAAGTCTATATCTGTATAGTTTTGGCCCAGTTATTCAAGTTTTTCTTAAACAAAGGCTCTGAAAAATGTTAAAAAACAGCATCAAAGATCTCATTATTATGATTCCGTTCAATAAATTTTTGAATATTTTTATATAGATTTTCTAAGCTTAAACTATTTTGTCATCTGAGGGGATTTCTTTCAAAAATTCCTTTTAGAAACTATTTTTATTCATAAAAAAGTCCATTTTTGGAGGTATTTTCAAATCGGTCCAGCTCACGTAAATCTTAATATTTTTCCGAAATATTTGGGTGCAAGTCTTAAAATATAATAGATTTTGTAATCCCAGCTGAAAAATCCCAACTTTTTTTGGTGATGCAGTCTAATGTACATACATGCATGTGTATGTCGTCGAAAAAATATTTTTAAGTACCACATATCGCTTTAATAACCTGTCGACCTAAATTGCCGCCGCATAGATTTGACTATTTCTTATAGTGTATCCTCAGTTGTTCGGCATCGCCCTTAAGTACAATACGCGTTAGTAGCTTAACTCCATTAGAAAATTCAACACTTTAGAATCTGCTAAGAGGGTGTAAAATATCTGCCGCAAGTGAAGTTCTCACCAGCTCGAGCTTTGACGCACGGCAAATTGTTTTAGCAAAACGAAGTATTTAATTATGTTAATTTTCGAGGTCCAAGTCTTAAACTATGTTTACATGCTGCGTAAATTACTTACGTTCTGTCAAATTATTTCACACAAATCAAGGGAATTCACACTTGCTGTGATGATTTCTAAAGACATTTCGCATGACTCAAAGATATCTTGGGAACAGCATTTACACACATTGGTCCCTTTCTAACCCCCACTAACCAAGCGAATGTCACTTGTATGACATTTCTCAAGTCAACCCAAAACAAAAAAAAATTTAAGTATGCATAACTGGTCCTTTACCAGTTATCTCACAAAATTTACTGTTCCCAATTAATCTTGCGTCAGTTAATCTGTTACCTTTACACGCCTTTACACACTCTCAAACCATTTGACATATGTATGTACGTAGGTATGTTTGTCTTTTTTTTGCCGACGGCCGTGCAGAAAACATGCAAAACTAACCAGGACATATACCTCTCCGTCGGTAGTGCAGTCACCACACTAGTTCAGATAGGAACCCCATTGAAAATAAGTAAGAACTTATTTGAGAAAAGGCTCAGTTAGTCTCGACTTACCTTAATTTAACTTACCGTAAGAAATCATCAATGATTACTCAATACGTCAACTTAAGCCAGAAGCGGAAATATTTTGTTTTTGTATATTCTCTTTTAGCTCTTTGACAGTTTACCGTCTAACATGCCACATCAAAAAAATATGTTTGCGTAAATTTACTTTTGAGAAATACAAAAACAAAAATCTGGCAAGCCTGATTCTCTCACCGCTCTGAATTTCCGTAAAGCCGTAACTTAGGAATCTGAAATCTACAGGTTCTTAAGTTGCTTACGTTGAGTTAAGTTTTAACTAACCGCCAACACAGTTTCTCATACAACAGGTTGGATAAAATATTAATTTAGGTTATGTTACGGAAATTAAGTCTAGACTAACTGAGCTTTTAGTCAGCGCCACGCTTCCATTTTTATTCCCCCCCTGTTATGCCGCTATTACGAGAGAAATTTCACAGCACACGCAATTTCGAAATTCGGCGATGTTTCTTGGCCACCAAGAGCCAAAAGGTCTTAAAACATCTTTTTGTGAGGCTATGTGAAAAACCTAGTAATCTTTTAACTCTACGCAATTGAAGATTAGATAAGCCAATTTATTGTCCGAGTTGTGGGAAAAACTCACCTAATCTAAAATTAGCTGCATTTTAGAGGGCGGCAAACGGTTTGTAAGCCCTTTTGATAACAGGAAAAGAAGTTGTCTTTATGTGGCGCTGTCTGAATTTGATATCCCCGAGAAACTGGATGGCCATGTGGCACGAATGGATAGAAACCCTCCAGCTCTGAATGTATTCAGCGGTAGCAGAGGAAGAGGAGCCCCCACTTTGATGGAAAGCCAAGTGGTGAAGGATATGTCTTCATTTAGCATTTCCAATTGGCGGCAGTTGGCACAGAAGACAAACGACTGGCGTGCTTTGTTGAACTCGGCCAAAATCGCTTAGGCGTTTACAGCGCCAAACGATAAGAAGAAGAAGCTGTTTGAAAAATCGCGGCTTTTATTAATTTTTACGGTTTTTGGCTTACACATCCACACATCCCCTAAATCTAAACGATAATACGAAAACTGATTTCATACGATACGCTGGCAAGCGTTTATCGTCTTTCGCACGGAAATTCATAATAGGGGGTAAGCTGCATATATGTATGTATTAAAGAGAATCATGACTTACGTAGGTAGTCATTAAAAAAGTTCCTTTAAATGCGTTGATTTATTTGTAAAAGATATCTTAGATTAGGTTAGGAAGGCTTAAACTCGGATTCAGATTTGCCCATTGTGAATGCCCTCTGTGTGTGCCAGAAGGAGGCATATCCTTCCAACTGAGGTTAATCCAAAATGTCAGTATAAAGTCTGTCAAACCATTTACTATCCCAGATGAAGGCGTGGATGTTCGATATTTTCACCTCCGCTATCTCTCCCAAGCTTTTGAAAAAGCGTGATCCCAAATGCTTGAGACGCTTTGTCTAGAGAGCTGGCCATTGACGTGAAAAGAAGTGGTGAATTGATTCCTCGTCATCCTCATCCCGACAATTTCTGCGGAAGGAGCTTGTTGGTATACGCCATTCGATGGAGCATTGGTACTTTAGTACAGTGCCCTGTGATGACACCGGTGAGAGCGCTAACTGCAGATTTTTTTAGTGTAAATAGTTCCCCTGTACGACTCTTATTCCGTCCAGATTAATCCACAGGTCAGCCTACTTAAATACTTAACGCCGTAAATAATTATTTGATCCGCTTACGTAGCCCATATACAGTTAAATTCAAAAGTTAGTATACACGTTCTTCTAATATAGACGCCTCCAAACGATACCATTCTAAGTGACCTTACACTTAGTCAGACTTAGCATGGTTTGGATTGGAGGCGTGGATATAATAATCACAATTATTTTAATTTAAAAAAAAAATTATTAATTTTTTATGAAAATATAATTAATTCTATAACACACACCACTATATATTTTTTCGCTACAGCTAAAATAAAGCAAAAAATCCTCAATCTTGATTAAGCCGTTTAAAAGGGGAATTATTTATATTCGCAATTCTATAACCATATGCATCGTAATGTAGGTATGTACATATGCATGCGTATAATAATCCCCTTTTCTTAACACCAAAAAGTTCCCCTTTTGCGAAACTACGTTTTATTATTTACCAATTCTTACTTAGTAGTCAACACTGTGCCCGCATTGGCGTATTTATGTTACATATGTACATACTTAATTATGCGAGCGATAAGGCCGCACAATACTCGCATAAAAACTTATCAGCGCAAGGCAAGGTAACTTAGTTGATTATCGAAAGCACATACGCGAACTTCCACTAAGAGACGAGCGCGCGCTGGTTTAGACTGAATAAACACCGGACTTAAATAACTACAATTAAAATAAACAAAAGCGACAAATATAAACAAAACCTCAACTAGTTACAGCATGCAATTTCTACGTCTAATCTCGTTGTTGATGCTGGGCGTCATCCTTCTGGCCACGTCATCTTGCCTGACCACAGCAGCTGTACTCGACGACGAGGGCAGACCACTATGTCCCTGTCCACGCAACTTTGATCCCGTTTGCGCAGCCAATTTGGTCACCTATTCAAATCGCTGCGAATACGACTGTGTACGCCGGGATGTGGAACGTAGAGGACGTAGTCTCAATCTATTGCGTTCCGGAGCGTGCTAAGTGTTAACTGGTGCATTAAAATTTAATTCAAATTGATGTGAGAAATTTTTTTACATTTACATAATGATTACAATATGTAGTTCGGCTTATTGAATGTATTTATACCTTTTTAAATGTTTTTACAATTTTATCAAACAAACTATTGTGTGAACTATTTATATAAACCATATATTTTGCTATGAATAAAAAGCGTTGTTTTGTTTTAAAGATCTTTCTAGTTTCTGGTCAATTACTCACCATTGGCTACATTCATAGATATACATATGTATATTTACAGGCATGTATTCTCAATTTATAGCAGGCAGAGTGTGTTATCAGTGAGCGTATCTACCATCGCGGCGATAATATTTTAATATACGAGCTTTATCAAGAAAACTGTCAGCAATAGAAAGACCATCATGCATGAATAAAATACATATAAAAACATCATATATTCCCAGTAGGAAAAAGAATCGCGTCAGCCGACGGTCACTACACCTTCCCTGCTGGATTTCCCTTACTTTAACAAATGCATTAATGTATTGCTTTGATTGATTTTCTATATATCAGGGCGCATACATCGAGGCATCAATTTGCATGAAATTTAAAAATTGGAAAAATGCAATTGTGGTTTTATATACCAGAGATACTAGTTTAAAAAAATTTACTACTTTTTACATCAAGTGGGAAATTTTCGATCATCGATATTTGCGATACATCGTTGTTTTTTGATTTTCATACTTACTAACGAAAAAGACGCGGTTTCTAGGGAAGTGCCTTGAGTTAAAACATATTGCGGTTTTGTTATTAGGAATTCTAAGTTTGAAGTTAACGATTTTGGGTTTGCAAGAATTTTAATAAGTTTTTTAAAGTTTTTGTATTATGCTTTTAAAGTTTTTATATGTGTTTTTTTATATTTCTAACCGACTTCAAAAAAGGAAAAGGTTATCAGTTCGTCGGAATATTATTATTATTTTTTTTATGTATGTTACCGCATAACTTTGGACCACGTTAACCCATTTCTATAATTCTTTTATACCTCACAAGTGGTCACATACTAATTCGGTTGAAATCCGATCATTGGATCATGAAGAAATTAACAATAATCTTAAATTTGTATATGAGAATTGAAGTCGGTTTTGTTTTTTGCTTAAAAATTACTTGTTTTTATTCTTTATGAAATAATTATGTATGTGGTAGCACCACAGAAATCCGTTAAGTAAAAATTTAAAATTAATTTAAAATTAACAATAGAAATTATACAATTTTATTTTCTTCAATCCCCCACCAAAAATTTCTTTCTAATAGACCAATTCATTTGATAACAGACATACTTCTTAGTCGCTTTACCAAATAAAGTAGGTATAAAGTAAAGCAATCGCTCGAAGTAGTTCGGCACTCTGTAGTATATTCGGCAGTATTGATTTTAAAACATAGTAAGTTTTAATCGGACGTTTTCATTTTATACTTTACTAAATGATAACAATTTTGGCACTAAAAGCTTAAAAAACATGCATAGCCCCGTAAGGTGCTTAGCTATTTTCCGCTGGGTACATGCATATGTATGTATGTATGTTTGTACGCATTTCTATAGCAGTCGGTATAGGAAGGTAGTACGTAATAGAGATCTGCATGAATTCTTTCAAAACGACAAACAAATCATTCGCATTCAAAATGAATGAATCACTTTAACTTAAATTCAGTGAAAGTTACTGCCGTATGTATGTTATTATGACTGTTCAAAAATAGATGGACTTCTCTCTGATATGCGCAAAAAATACTGCGGGCAACGTAGCCAAAGTTGCTCTGATGAGGGTTATTATTTTAAAGCGCAGCCGAAGGTCGCCTACTCGGAAAATATTGCCGTTGTTAATCCAAAGGGTCCAATATAAAATTATATTTTCCAGTAACTTTCATTCAGCTACACTACTACCAACCCATATCTTAAAAATTTACTAGATATTAGACATCTTGCGAATTTCCCTCACAACACTTTATATACCAATTTAAAAAGATTTTTTCTTTGCCTCTAAAATTTCAAATTTTGCAAATAGTACGCTTTGCATTGATGATCATTATATGCACAATTTTTATTTTACAGTCCAATCACGAGCACCTCAGCTATTTTCAGGTAATGGAATCACAGATACTAATATACATGCGTACATATATGATGCAAACTGAATATTTTGAGTCATCCCTTGTCAAATTTGGTTTGGAGACAAACCGGTTTCGGCGTTGTGCCATCTTCAATATCATTTTTCGTTCTGAATAGTTTCTGTTTGTCCGTCACTATTTATAGCCGTGTTAACTCGTCGTTGGTTCATAGTTAGGTACGTCTCAACGGATTTTATTCTTTCGTTCAACCAGTAGTTTCAGTTCTGTGTGTACATCCTCAGGTAGAAATTAGCTGTTCACCTCTTTTTTGATTAATTGTTGCATGGATTCGCAGGTAGGTAAAAGTCAGTTATTTTCTTTCTCTTTGTTTCTGTAGTTTGGACCTGCATTTCATTGTTTATGGTAGTGGCAGGGTTTCTGTTTAGTTTTGCGTATAGTAGCCTGAGTGGTTCGAATAATATATCAGATGTGGTGTTTATTTGCTCATTTATTATTTTTCCAAGGAACGTCTTTTGTTTATATATCTCCATATTCTCTAATACGTTTAGGCGTTGTCCTTTGTGCTGTACATGGAGAACTTTGGCTGTCTTTCCTATTTTCATTGGCGTACAATGGTTTTCTGCCATATGGTTTGCGAAGTTCGATTCCGGGGTAGTAGAAGGTTTTAGCATTTTTTTGTTGTAGTCCCTTATATGTTCACGATATCTTGTTTTTATCTTGCGCCCTGTTTGTCCTATGTAACTATGTTGACATTCGCAAGTCAACTTATATACACCTTGCTTGTCTAGTGGGTCTTCCTCGTTTGCACTATTTCGTAGTATTCTCCCCACATTGTCCTTCGTTCTAAATGCTGTATTAATGTTATACTTTTGGAATACCTTAGCCAATTTATATGACGTTTTGCCCGTATAAGTCAAGACTGCCCAAGCCTTTTCATTATTTTCCTTCTTATTTGATTTCTTCGTTTTTGTTTCTCTTCTTATCTTGTTTACTAGGCCCTTTCTGTATCCGTTATTTTCCGCGATTGCGTATATCGTATTAAGTTCTTTGCTGTAAGCTTCTTTTTCTAATGGGGTTCGTTCAAGCCTGGTTATTAGATGTCTAAAGGCTGCATTTTTGTGCTGTTGGGGGTGGTTTGAAGTATTGTGTATTATCGTGTCTGTGGCCGTGGGCTTTCTATATATCCCGAATTCGCATTTGTTGGTAACCTTATTTATTTTAATTGGTATGTCCAAATAGTTTATTTTGCCTTCGTTTTCCTTATCCATAGTGAAATTTATATTCGTGTGTTGGTCGTTGAGATAGCCTAGAATTTGTTCTTCCTTGTCTCCCGTTACAAGACATATGATGTCATCGACGTATCTTGCGTAGAACTTAACCTACCCTGTCGGAAACAGCAACAACGAAAATGAGAATATTTTGCGGTAACTTTTTGGATTTTTTTTTTCAAAAAAAGTACTGGGCAGATTCTCACTACCTTCTTATCCTTTATATAAGTGATAGCATGTGGCGATATTGCAACTGAGAATTTAATTATTAAAAACTTTGCCAAAACATACAAACAAATCTTCACAGATAATAGATACATATATTAAAGTTGGGTAAATCTACCCTGAGTTGAGCTAGAGAGCTGACTTCCAACAATAAGCCTCACACTCAGACTCACTTAAAAATAATTGCGGCTCAGTAGCTCAATTATGTATATGTATGTATGTATATAAATACCTATCAGTCAGCTTGTTGACCAATGATTCGATTAGTTGAGTCAGTCCTAAGAATTAATAGTAAAGGAAAAGAAAAAAAATAAGTTGAGACTGTTGGCTGAGACGGCGACTTGGTTGAAACATGCACTGCTGCGCTTGGAAAGCAATTGTGCTATGTCACGGACTTGACTCACTAAATTGAGCTAGAGTCTCACTGAATTACCCACTACTAGGACCTTCAAGTTTATTAGGACAGATGAAATTAAGTTAATTTTTTGTGGTCTTTATCATTTTTGAGACTTCTCTCAGTTTAATAAAGATCTGAGAAAACATCTTCTACCTTTTTTTTTTTTTTGATTAGGCATTATCTATCGCTAATTAGATCTCTTAAATAACCTATGAGGTATTATTTTACTTACGAGAATTTACCTGAAGAGGGCGAGCTTGAGAATGATGACCACGTAGTAATCTGTAGCGACTAAATTATATATTCTGTGGCTTAATATAATATTTCTTCCCCGAAATCTTGTTTATTTTTTTAAGCTTCAAATCAAGCCAGAAGTTATAAAACTTTAAATATTATGTCCTTCGTTATATGAAATATCAAAATGCAGAAAGCAGCATTTAGGTTAACACAGAATTTGAATCTACCCAAGCAGATCTCTAACACATAACCCCATAGAAAACTATGACAAAGAATAAATCTTCAAAATCAATATCATCATTTAAATTGCTACCGTTATTAATACTTGCGTTTCTAAATATGTAATATCGTTTCGGATTCACATGTTCGTTTTGCTTACTTATTCTTTTCCTTAATTTTGTCATGCTAGTCGTCTACTTTTATAGGGGTTGGATCAAAGAGCTGCGCATTTGGATTAGTTGGTAATACACACACATAGCGGGGACATGTGACGTCGAGGTCAAATTTTTCAAATACTCAGACCACAGCGCCACCTGGCGGGAAAATAGTTAAATTTTCTAACTTGCCTTGGTACGGCTCCACAAAATCTTTGAAATAATTTTCACAAGAAAACTTTATTTACCAAAAATGTCCAATCTTTTTTACAAATGCACAAAATATTTGCAAGGATGTGTCGTCAACCTCTGGTTCACTACCCATACATATCCTACTTATTTGCAGGCGCCCTCTCGCAATATAGACAAAACTCTACCCAAGCGTGCCAAAATGGAGCGCTTGCAGTCGAATAGACAGCGATTGTTGTAGGTGCGATTATCAGATCCACAAATTGGTGCCAAACTGCGATCGCAGATACAAGTTGCCAAATCGTTGTCCACCTCATCAGCAGCTACGTCAGCTAACTCATCAGCATCTACTTCAGCTAACTCATCTGCGGCAACATGGCTCCTAATTTCCGCCAGGGTAGCACAGGCGCCCGAACGCGCCAACGTCAAACTGCGACCCTTGAGGCTTAACTTCTTGCGTGCGCATTCAAAGAGGCACTTATTGCTGTAAGTTATCGAATCGGAGCCACAGACCGGTGAAAATATGCGACCACACATGCATCCATCCTCGGAGCCATTAACAGGAGCAGCTTCAGCGTCAATACTGGCGTACGATTGGTAAATGGCACAGCACAGCAAAAGCAGCAGGCTGATAGAAAATTTCATTGAAAAGTGCATTTTGCACGGAATAACTTTGTTCTTGAAAATGCGTGTATTTTTGCGAATATGCTCGAATAAACTGAAGTAGAGGTAGCTAAGATATAGGCTATGTATGGTAGCAATTTTTTTTTTTTTGAACACGGGCTACTGTTTTATCAGTCTCGCAATTGATAATTTAATGGGTGCTTGCAATGAGGTATGAGAAATTATAAAAATCATAATTAACTTACCGGCAAATATGCGGAAAAGGGTAGTTACATTTAGTACTTAAAATAAATATGTAGATATGTTCAAATTGACAACCTTATACAGTAGCAAATAATCATTAAATGTAATTATGTAGCCGTATCGGCTGCTAGCGTTCGCATTTTTCTTTACTTTACTGCAAATGTACTGTAAAGTACCATCAGCTACCAGTCACCCACTATATCGTAAATTCCCACAACAGTTTAATCTTGCCGTCAACTAATCAGCACTTGAAACCTTTTAAGCAATAAATGCTCATATATCAAACTTTGCTTGCGTATGTGAAGCTTTGGAATAAAGAGTTCTTCAACGAGTGCAAACAATTCGCACACATTTCTCTATTTCGCATTACCATTTAAGTGGAAAGTAATTTTTCCTCCTGGATATGACAAACACCTGCTAATGTTTTTCAAATATTTACAGTTGCTAATTGTTATTAATTCTGGTTTCCTTGGAATTTCTCCGTTTTCCTTTATTTTTCCTTCAATTAAAATACTTGTCAATAAACTATAGTTTTGAGTTACATACTATCTTCAATTAAGTTACTCGAATGTAATTAATTACGCCCCTCTCGCACGACAATCTGTCGCCTATGGCTAAGACACGGTTGCTCTGCGTTGCGCAGCTTAATCCGCCTTTAATTACGCCTACCCATGGAATGCAATTCGTTCATATCAAACGTGGTTGTCATATACCGGCATGTGTGTAATTTGAAATAATGGCATTCTGAATGACCAGAGGAAAATGTGAAAATCTGTAATGTTGGAAGATAACTTAAAGTTTCAATATTCAAGAAGGGTAGTGACAGAAAATACTTCACAGCAATTATGTATTTATGGTAGGGTAATGTTTTTTTTTTAAATTTTTTTTTAGACTGTTGGTGCTATAGGTTTTGGCAAACTTAGCCATGGGGCTATACGCAGTTGAGCAACGCGTAATAGTGATCCAAATATTTTATGCATTCGCGCATTAGGCGATTTTTTTTCGATCAACATAACCGGCCATCTGGGGCAACGATCAGCCGTTTGGTGTAGAAATTCGAAGAGACTGGATCGGTGTAAAACGTGACGCATCATGTGTGTTCGACATTTAATGGATATTGTGTTTCATACATAAATGCCATAGACTAAAAAACCTTTCAAAATAAAAAAAAAGTTCAACCCATTTTATTGGGTTTTGCGTATTTTAACTCTTTAACTTTGAATTTTATTTTCAATAAATTACATGCGAGTTAATCAAAAAGAGCATTTATGAGGTTAAAATGTTCTTGTATCAAATTTTTTGTCGGTTACACTGTCGTACAAAAATTTTGTAACGTCAAAAATTCTACGGGAAATCATGGTATATTTCATAATAAAATAGTTGTATAATAAACTGTGTATAAGTTTAGGTGAATAGCAATTATTTCATTAACCGCTCGAATTCGATTAGCCGTTCACTTTCGACTAATCACTTACCACCGAGTATTCCGAAAATAAGCATGTCTGAGTAATTGAAAAATATAAAAACAACCAAAATACTTAGATTGAAGAAAAACAACTAGTCGAAAAATTTAAAATTAACGGTTAGTCTACAAGTTGCTTGCGGTTAGCGGTTAGTTGAAAAAATTGAAAGTAGAAAGAATGATTCAGTGAAGTCGACCCATTTTTCAAACCACTTTTTCTAATCGATTAACCGATTAGTTGACTATTCGATTAAGAAGAGTTGTATTTGGCACGTGCCTGCTTCCTGGATAGCAGCGAAAGTAGTATTCCTTTCATGAAAATATATGGGAAATTCTTCTGAATTGTGAAGGATTTCACGAAATCTCAGATTTCAATGCAGAGTACATAGTTGGTCAGATTAAAAAATCAATAAAATTTCAGTCAATACCATAATGGAAGGTGCAGAACTAAGGGTTGGCATAGCCATAATGGCCTGGAAACGTAAGGTGCTAGGTTGTCCCAGAGTTTAGGCCGAATGGGAAGCCGCATATACATTGAAACAATTTAAAGAGGGAACTCCGAAAGGGTTGTCCCATCTCCCATCCTTTAGTTTTTAGCAGTTAACAGGGCTCTCAAAGTGTTCGTAGACACAGCTTCTGGTTCTTTAGCACTCCATGCTTTTCACAAATGGTTGGAGAATGTAGCGCTCAGTATAAATGCGACCTAATGCGGTTTACTTAAAATTACAAAGTAATACCGAATAAAAACTTTCATGTCAAGGAGAGTGGAGAAAAAGGCTTGATTGGCGCCTTACGTATGATAGAAGATGCTAAGCAACATATACACACATATATTGATTACGTTTTCTTTTTATTCGATATACTTTTTGGAAACAGATGTCACGCTATCAAAAATTATTTCAGATTGTCAAATTATTAAAAGTTCGTATCAGTTCATACTACCTAAATAACTAGTCAGCCTTTAGCTATAGTTATGCTAGACAGAAATACTATAATATTGTACCTCGAAAACTCAAAAAGGAAGTTTCGAGCTTCGTACTTAAATTCGATAACAATTTTTAATTTATTAAAGTGTTTTTAAGTTTTATGTAAACTTTATTCCGAAATCAACTCTCACTGGGTAATAAACTTAGCTAAATACCATGTGGCTAAAATATTTGATATAGCCATTTCGGCTGATGTGTATTCTAAATATATCGCACACGTTTAAATGTATATAAATTAATATATATGTACGTATATAAATACTTGTCCACTGATAACTGTATGTGTCATATTACTTATTGTTGACTCAGATTTATATCACTGTTGAGATTGAAATAAGGTGAATACGAAAAGGGTCAAATTATTTGACAAGCCTGTTCATTCATTTCCTTGATTACAGTGATGGTAATGGTAGAAAATGGGCGACTCCCTTTCATGTGACTTCTTTAATCTGATGTTGGAGAAGATAATAAGAGCTGCAGAACTGAATCGCTCAGGAACAATTTACTACAAGAGCGTGCAATTGCTGGCTTATGCCGATGACATCGACATCATCGCTAACAAAAACCGCGAAGTCTGTTCTGCCTTTTCCAAGTTGGATAGGGAAGCAAAGCGAATGGATCTGGTGGTAAACGAGGACAAGACGAAGTATCTCCTGTCATCAAACAAACAGTCAGCACATTCGCGCCTTGGCACCCACGTCACTGTTGACAGTTACAATTTCGAGAAAGTAGAGAATTTCGTTTACTTGGGAACCAGCATTAACACCGATAATAATGTCAGCATTGAAATCCAACGTAGAATCACTCTTGCCAACAAGTGCTACTTTGGACTGAGTAGGCAATTCAGGAGTAAAGTCCTCTCTCGACGTACGAAAACCACGCTCTATAAGTCACTCATCATGCCCGTGCTGGTATATGGCGCAGAAGCATGGACAATGACAACATCCGATGAGGCGGCTCTTGGGGTGTTTGAGAGAAAGATTTTGCGGAAGATTTACGGTCCTTTACGCGTTGGCGACGGCGAGTACCGCAGACGATGGAACGATGAGCTGTATGAGCTTTACAACGACATAGACATAGTGCAGCGAATTAAAATACAGCGGCTCCGCTGGCTTGGCCATGTCGTTCGAATGGACACCGACGCTCCAGCTCTGAAAGTATTCAACTCGGAACCCGCTGGTGGTAGCAGAGGAAGAGGGAGGCCCCCACTGCGATGGAAAGATCAGGTGGAGAAGGACTTGGCTTCACTTGGCGTTTCCAATTGGCGTCAGTTGGCACAGAGGAGAAACGACTGGCGTGCTTTGCTGAACTCGGCCAAAATCGCTTAGGCGGTTACAGCGTCAAAAAAGAAGAAGAAGAAAAAGAATGGTAGAAAATTTGCACTATATATTTCACGTATTTAGCTAATTAATGCGAAATATTCTTCTTATATATGCATTACTTATGTATAAGTATACTAAGTATGTATGTATGTTTAAAAATAAATTTGATGAAAGTGGCACGCACAGTACGCCTCTGATTTTTGGCGTAAATTCCAAGGCAAGCGAATGCGAACCGCGTTCCATTACTAAACCTTTTCTGAACGGACATTAGACCTTAATTTTTCTTTTTTGAAAATGGGTATACATACAAAAGACACCAAATGAAAATCATGCTTTAAACCCTTCAAACAATTTTCTACGTGCTCAGAATTTATGAGACCAAACTGAGTCCTTATTTTGACTCATTTTGTTGAAAGTTTATTTATAATCAGAATTATAGTTCATTTTCACCAAGCCTTAACTGGAGTGTATGCCACTCGAAGGGAGTAATTGCTCATATTAAGTAAACTCAAACGAAAGTAAAAAGACAAAAAGTAAGAAATAAACCTTGCACATAAAAAACTCAAGTTAAAATTCATGTAAATTATCTGCGCTCTTAACTGCAGTTAAGCCTTTTGGTGGAAATATGCTATTATAAACAATATTCGTTTTTAAGACTAAGAAAAGAGGCATACTAAAGACCCTAATATGACAATTAACTTGAACTCGTATTGGCGTGTCCTGCTAAAACCGGGAAATATACTCTTTTCTGACTCTTTATTAAGCTAAGAATTAAGGTTACAACCAGTGATGCCACAAAGATTTTTAATTTTTTACCAAACCTCTAAAAAAAAATTACCAAACTCAGAAAAAAATTACCAAATTTTTATGAGCATAATATTCTAAACAAATTGGAAATTATTTTTCGACGTATGTAGATAATACACCACGTCTGGGATTGTGGCCAGCTTAGATCTATTTATATTTTTCGACCGAAAAATGAGTTCTTCCCATTCTTTTATGACAAACTCATAAAAATGGATGATGTCGCTGCCGCGTTCAAAAAATTCATATCACCATCGACTGAGCGTTTAGATAACGGAGATGAACAATTTACAGCTGTGGTTGTCCTTTTCAATGTGTTCCGACTATAACAATTCACAAATATTTTTAATGGCCGGTTGTTCAATGTATTTAACCGGAGCTTCTACCTCCGATTTGTACTAATCAGACATTGAACAATCGGCCCTAAAACATAAAACAAAAAAATCGCTCAGAGATTTACAAACATTTAAAAGGTTTTTAATAGTTCATTTCTACTGCAGTTTATGCCTATTGGAAAAAAACAGATTACAACTCGAAGGAGGTAGTTGCTCATATTAGGTACAAGCAAATGAAAGGAAAATAACAAAAACGAATAAATAAACATTGCAGATCACCTCTTGTTAAAAATATCTAAACTCTTAACTGTAGTTAAGCGTTTGGTGGAAATGGGCTGTAACATACAGTCTTTTACATAATTTATTTTACATACCTTAAAACCAAAACATGAAACCAGCAAATGTATCGTTAAACGGTAGATAAAATTTACTTTTACTATTTTATAAGTGGGTCACATTCGTATTTAATCGCAAACTTTTAATTAGTCCCGTGAAATTATTTTCTTTCACCATTGGTTCCGGCAGGTAAAAATGATCCAAAATCCAGATTTGTGGGACTGTAGGAGCTGTGATCGAGCCGCCATATTGGGAAAATGGGTGGTTTTCTGCTATATTGCAAACTCTACTATAATACATACTAAAAGTTCTGAGTTGTCAAGGCAAATTGTTACATTAAAGAGCCCTTTCAATTTTTGGCTCTCTTAAGGTGTAGATACATACATATGTAAGTACATAAGCAAACTTCTTTGTTTTGTGCAATCGTCAGAAGGTTCAAAGTTATAAATTTTTATAAGTAATAAGTTACTATTAAAAACTTAAAAGAAAATACTTACGTTTAAAAATTACCAAATTGAGAAAAAAATTAGCAAATTACCAAACTCCTTCTAAAAAGAAAAAAATTACCAGTTTTGGTAAAAAATTACCAAAGCGGCAACGCTGGTTACAACTCAAAATTCTGAGACTTTTCTGACTCTAAAACGAGTCCGAATTCAAAAATTTGTATTTCTCTTACCAACAACTATGTTATCAATATAAACAAATTCAATAAGAAACTATTTTTTTAACAAATTATTTTTCTCTTACTTTTCAGTCGCCAGCACACCTGAGAGTATACCAAAACGTGAACGTGACGATCCACCCACCGGCGGCAGTAGTGGTACAGTTGGTGGTGGTGGCGCAACACCGATTGGCTCAACAAGTGGCAGCCTAACAAGCGATAGACGCTCAAAATCAGATAGTCCTACTGGCAGTAGTAGTGCGGCATTAATAGGCAGTGGTTTAGGTACATTCACGAGTGAGGAAATAAGCAACACAACAACAACTACAACAGCGCATACAACAAATAGCGGCACAGTTGAGAGCGTGACGATCAATGGTCAAATTGGAAGTAAGTTTAGATAACCCTAAAACAAGAAAGTTATACAATGAGAGATGAGCACACATCAATACTTTTTCCGAGTTTATGTATAGTACACAAAAAAATCTGTATATAGCGTTTCACTAATCTTTTATATAAAAATAAGTGCACGTTTTTGGTGTGACCTCATAATTTGAGAACGGCTTCACCGAATTCAATCAAATTTTTTGCGGCATATTCGGGCCATCATGCAGATGGTTTATGTGGCGTTTGCTTGAATTCGGAAAAGGGGGCGTGGCACCACCCATACTAATAAAATACAAAAATAAGTGAACGTTTTTGGTGTGACCATATAACTTGCGAACGGCTTCACCGAATTCAATCAAATTTTTTGCGGCATATTCGGGCCATCATGCAGATGGTTTATGTGGCGTTTGCTTGAATTCGGAAAAGGGGGCGTGGCGCCTCTATTTTATAAAAATATATAAAAATTAGTGAGTTAGCTTATAACTTGAGAACGGCTTCACCGAATTCAATCAAATTTTTTGCGGCATATTCGGGCCATCATGCAGATGGTTTATGTGGCGTTTGCTTGAATTCGGAAAAGGGGGCGTGGCGCCTCTATTTTATAAAAATATATAAAAATTAGTGAGTTAGCTTATAACTTGAGAACGGCTTCACCGAATTCAATCAAATTTTTTGCGGCATATTCGGGCCATCATGCAGATGGTTTATGTGGCGTTTGCTTGAATTCGGAAAAGGGGGCGTGGCATATGTATCTTATGTATGAAAACAAGTGCATGTTTTTGGTGTGACCTTATAACTTGAAAACGGCTTCACCGAATTTAACCAAATTTATGTGGCTTATTCGATCTATCATGCAGATGGTTTATGCGAAGTTTGCCCGAATTCTGTGGTACCACTCACACTAACTAAAATATTAAAATAAGTGAACGTTTTTGGTGTGACCTTTGAGAACGGCTTCACCAAATTCAACCAAATTTGTGCGGCATATTCGGGCTATCATGCAGATGGTTTATGTGGCGTTTGCTTGAATTCGGAAAAGGGGGCGTGGCGCCTCTATTTTATATATAAAAATTAGTGAGTTAGATTATAACTTGAGAACGGCTTCACCGAACTCAACCAAATTTATACAGCATATTCAAGCTATCATGCAGATGGTTTTTGTGAAGTTTGCCCAAATTCGTAAAAGGGGGTGTGGCACCTCCCATACTAACTAAAATTTTTATATTGTATATCTCTTGAAATATTTGTGGTAGAGTATTGGAAATTGGTATAGAGGTATATCAAATAATTTCATATTCATGGAGAAAAATGGGCGGTATTGGAAAAGAGGGCGTGGCACCTCCTATCTTACATATAAAAAATGAGTGCAAGATTTCAACCAAATTTATACGGCGTAGTCGGGTTATTATGAACTTAGGTTTGTCTTATGTTTCCCCGAATTTGGAAAAGGGGGTGGCACCACTCATACTAACAAAAATTTTCTTCTGGTATATTTGAAATATTTGTGGTAGATTACTGGAAATTGGTATAGAGACATATGAAATAATTCCATACTCATGGAGAAAAATGAGCGGTATTGGAAAAGGGGGCGTGGCACCTCCCATCTTAAATAAAAAAAATAAGTGCACGAATTCTACCAAATTTAAACGGTATATGCAGATGGGTTATGTGAAGTGTGCCCGAATTCGGTCCAGCGGTTCATGATCTATAACAGTTTATGTCTGTTACATGAACCACGTATATGGTACAACAGCAGATACATGAAAAATCGAAAACATAGTGAAAAATTGTTGCTATGATGTGCTGTGTTTATTTTTTCTTCGGATAAATATCAAGTATAAACATGGCTGCAATATAGTAAAACAAAAATTCAAATAGAAAAATTCCAGGATTTTTCATTCATTTTTCAATATTTGGTGTAGAGAAGCACACCGGGGTACCGCTAGTAGAGTATAAAAAGCAATCGTTTAGGTATAAAAATTTCGTTTTAAACTTTAGAATGCAAAATGCAATGAATTTTAATTATTTTATATAATAAATTTTGGGCCTTTGCCGTTCCAGCATTAGCCTTTAGTCATTAGCTATTTCATTACTCATTCAGTTCATCAGCCGTTCACCATTCTGCTGCTAAGCACTGAAACGCCGTTATTTCACACAAACACACCAAAAATTTATGCAAATTTGTATTTTCCCCTCCTTATTTGTTTTTGTTTTTTTTTCTGCATTCTGATTTAATTGGCTTGGCTGGCTTTTGTGTAATAATAAAAAGCAACTGAGCGCTTCTGTAAATCCCAAAAAGAACATCTAGTTAACAGTGTTCCACACTTTATGCTCCAACAGTAATTGTGCGTAGGGGCGTATACGCGATGTTGTTTGCTATTAAATGAATACAAATACAAATATTCCCAATTTATTACGGACCACCATAGAAAAGCATAACAATAAATTTCATTTTCTTCAAAGACGAAGAAGAAGCATAAATATGCAAGAAAAAGAATAAACAAAAACCAAGGCTCGCACCGCCCACAGTGGGCGTTGTTGTAATTTTAGCTTCCTACAGCTGATTGTGTGCCTTGGTGTATGCATGCACGCACGCCTGCACATGCAAACAAACAAGCACTTACAATTATTCAGATTTGAAGAAGCTGTTAATAAAATGTAACTGAAAATATAAGCGTTGGGGTTGACTCAAAGGCAGTGGGTTGCTCATAAAATCGTTTTATATTGCATGCCTTCAGGCAAAACCGAACCGATTGCATTGATTGCATTGAGTTCTCCATAGAATGAATGCTTGGCGAAGTGAAAAAGCCACAATTCAAAGATTAGATGCTGTGCTTCAATGGACAAGGGGCATTCGAAGAATTTTCTTTATCCTCTTATACTGCACTCATTTTTCCTAACAAGGCAGTATACGCGGCGATTTGTGGGCATAAATATACATATTTGGTAACTCCTTTATCAGCATTCCTTTCATCGCACCAAATTTTTAACGGTCTTAATAAAAGAACTATCCGAGTCCTTACGAGTGCTCGTTTGTAGCGCTTACAAAAAGTTAAAAATAATACGCACACATATGTAAATTTTGATGGCTGATTGGAAGATCGACCTATGTATCTCGACAACCAGTTCAAAAACGCCCAATCTCAGAAAACTTTTCAAGAACGCCCTGTTTCAGAATTTTATTGAAAAACACCCTATCTCTGAATTTGGTTGAAGTATGCCCTATGCCAGAATTCGGTTCAAAAACGCCCCATCTCAAATCAAAAAATATATTGAAAATGTGTTGAGATAGGGCGTTTTTGTATCGAGTTCTGAGATAAGGCGTTTTTCAAAAAAGTTCTAAAATATTACTTGGCATTTGAAATGAAACTTTGTAATAAAGATAAAAGCGAAGATGAAGAAAGAAAGATAAAATAAGTTAATTGTTAAAACAAATATTTTTAAAGCAAGCTCAAAATTAGACTATAAGTACAGGTTTTTCAAGTATCTCGACTCCTGCGACACCTATCAGATTAACTCAACTTTCTTAAAGCATAAACAGACGGCAGCGTTTATCCGGATCAACTCGGGAATTAACTGCAGTTTATCCGGATTAAGTCCGAGATAGTCCGGATCAACGCTGCCGTGTGTTTAAGCTTTTATTGCATTGTCATCGGGTGTGAAGTTTCGAGTCTCCAGGTCATCGGGAAGCAATAACAAATACATATACATAATAGTTAACATAATTGAAGGGTTAAGGAAATATATTAAAGTTTTTCGATTAAAATAGAAATACCTCCAGTCATCAAGCATTTTATTATCGAAAATTATTAAGTCATCGAAAATTATTGAGTGATCAAAGTTAATAGTCATCGAAATATATCAGATTATCAATGTTTATTGAGTTATCGAAATGTAGCGAGTTATTCAAATAGATCAATAATCATTGAGTTATCGAAATTTAAAGAGACACAGAAACTGATTTGTCGAAATTTGGCGATAGTTGTCACATTATAAAAATTTCTCGTTTTTTATAATTCGTCGATTTCATAAAATTTTCCAAGTTATCGATATTTATGGAATTCTCAATACATATCAGGTCATCAGAATTTATAGAGTTATCGTAATGTAACGAGTTCTTTCAACTTATCGAGTTATCGAAATTTATTTTGGTTTATCGCAATCTGTTGGTAGCTATCGAATTTTTTCGGCTTATCGAATCGAAGTTTTCACGATTTGCCGATTTATTTATCGTCGGTGAAACTGCAAAACGTTCTATGTCACTTATTACCTCTGGTGCTTAATTGATGTGTTATCTGTATCTGATCGCTTCTAGCAATCGTTCATCTTCATTAGGCAAAGGAAGACAGTTTTGTCATTCGTTTATTAGGGTGTAACGATTTGCAGATGCATTCTGGTGCAAGTAAGAGACCATATAAGTGGCAAGGGTACTAATAGACATAGACCGTTTTACAGTATCACCGACGATATTTTCATAGAGTTACCAGAGCGTATCAAGTTATCGAAATTTTCCGATATATATCGAAATTTATGGAGCTATATATTGAGTTGTCCAAGTTTATCAAATTATCAATATATATATCGAGATTTGTAAATTTTGGAGTTATCTAAATTTATCGACACTTATCGAAATTTTTCGAGTTACAGAATTTTATCGAGTTAGTAAAATTTAGTGTTTTTGAAATCCATCAAGTTATAGATAAATATGTAGCGAAGTGTCGAAATTTATCGACTAACTGGAATGTATCGAGTTATCTATATTCATAAAGTTTTTGAAATTTGTTGGGTTAAAGATATTTATAGAGGTATTGAAATTTATCGAAATATATCGATTTAATGAAGTTTGTTGATATCAAGCGAGGTTTATCGAAATACATATGTCGAAATTCGTTGATAGGCATCGTTAGGAAATATTTAGATTGTGTAGATTCTTTAATTTGAGTCGTACTTGATTTGACAACAAGTTACAACAACAAAATAGACAAAATAGAGAGAACAACAATTTTTAACCAGATTACCTGATAATCAGTCAGGTGTGAATACCCCAAGTACACATTTTTTAGAGTTCAAAATTTAAATCTCTTCATAAGCATTCATAATTCCTTACAACACACGACATGAAACACTTAAACAATTCAATGTTTAGACATTTTAATTCCGTGTTTTGGTATTTGATTTCAAATAATTATTTTAAAATAGAATTTTAAATATCCATTTTGCTTTATACTCTAACAGGGCACGGCTCACTCACCATTGTACGACGTTCAAATAGCCGCAAAAGCTTTGTACAACTGGACGCACAACAACAAAATATTCTCACATCGCCATCAACAGCCGCAACAACTCCTGTAGGTGGCCCTCCACATCCCCAGCAACAAACACAACAACCATTTACCGGCATAACCGCCGATTTAGCTGCCCAATTACTTTGCAGCAGCGACAAAAGGGGTCAACAGGGAACAGCATCAAGCAGTGACAATCGCTCCAAAGATAACAGCAAAAATAGCAATACTTGCGATAGCCGTTTTGAAGTTGAATCGAACGTTTCGGTTTCACCGAACGTAACAACCACCGGCATCGCAAGCCAACAACAATTAAGGCACAATTTAGCAGCTGTTCGAGGAGTAGGTACACCTAGCACCGCTACTGTTGGCTTCAGTAGTAGTAATAACGCCACCGCCGCCATCAACAACAACAATTCCGACAACAACGCCAGCAATAAGTACAGTAGTATCGCCGCCAATACCGCCAATAGCTGTATAACCACCAGCATCGTCACCAACAAAATGCAATCATCACCACCGAGTTCACCAAATACGGGCGATATTCGTACGACCATGCGCGACAATGGAGAAGATGAACGCGCGTCGGAGGTTACAGCAGCAACGGTCGTTGCGGATACGTCAGCAGCGAGCCTGGATTTGGCAACTGAAAATTTACCAGCTGTCGATACACCGGACGCTTGCGATAAGGCAGCCGTAAGGTGCGTATAGGAAATAATATGTATGTATGTACATATGTAAGTTGTCGACCACGACACGGTTAGCTGTGTGCGCTACCATTCCGCGTGGCCGGGGTTCGAGACCAGGTTTCGACTAACATTAAAAACAATAGAAAAAGAAAAAAAATCGAATAACGGTCGCTACTCGGCAGGCAATGGGAAACCTACGAATGTATTTCTCAGATTCTCATAAAAATACATTCGCCGTTCGGAGTCGGCGTAAAGCTGTCGGTCCCTCCTTTTTGTATGACAACATCAAGGCCCACGCCACTAATCGGAGGAGAAGCTCGGCCAAACACTTACCAAAACAATACCTTCTGAACTGTATAGAATCTCGCTTCTGCAGGGTCACCGTCTCAGTAAATGAATAGATGTTAATGTCGTATCCTTACCAAAGGCGGGAAAGCTTGAAACATTTACCTAAGCTCATATCCCTTTAAATCCATTTAGACAATTTTGCATCAGCACAATATCAATCTAATGGAACGGCCTCTGAACAAGAACCAATTGGGCTATGAGCCCGGCAAATATGCTGAAACGGTCATTCATAGAATCTCAGTAAAAAATGTACAGTACTCTGGAGTCTAAAAATATAAACCTCCATGTCCTTGTTTCTGTGGCTTTCCACAATTCTTCGTACAGGGCTAAAGAAGATGGCCCTTTAAACAATGGCAGAGGGACCACTATCAGTCAGTTGAAACTTGGGATGGAAAAGGCGCCCGCAGAATGGGTTCTTGACTTCAAAACCGGCTTTCAGGTTTTGGATTCTTAAAGTCGATTAATCCCTTCTGGTAGTCGACTTTATGATTTAAATTGACTTTTTGAAAATAAATTAATACCTGCCTTTATTAAAAAGGTAATGAACATAAAATTATAAATTATAATTTTTAATTATTCAAAAAATTATATTTTATCAATTTATTGCACCTGCTTCGGCACTGAAATTTAAAACTAAATACTAAAATTAATTAATTCAGAAAACCACATACATTCATCGACTTATTTATCAATGTTTGAGCAATGAACCCATTATAAAATGGCATTCGTTATAAAATTGTGTGTAGTCTTGAGCGCATGTTGATGAACTCCGTTTATTTAAATACAGTAATGCTATATTTTGAAAATTACATTATTGAAGTGGGTTTACACTACTGCAATAGGACGTGTAAACTTTAAAATTAGGTAATTATATTACCATCATTTACTTAAGTAGTAGACAAAAGTCGAAAAGTTATCGAGTGAGAGTCGATTCGATTCGACTTCAAGCGAGAGAACTCGATTCCAAAAAGTCGATATTTTTCAATAAAAAGTCGATTTTTGACTAAAATCAGAGTCGACCTTTCCATCCCTAGTCGAATTCTATACAGGCGAATTGGTTATCTGCTAACAGGGCTGCCTGTTGAAACAATTTCAATCCTTATACAAAAAGCTCGGTGTACCGCACAAAGCAGGTCCTACACCAGGGGATAATCCATAAATCATACCAACAATTATTCTGGTAGGTACCTCATCAGATGATGGAATAGTCTACGCTTCCACCCCAGACAACAGGATGGGCATCATGACAGACTTAAAGCTCAGTTAGTTTAGACTTAACTTAATTTAACATACCGTAAGCAATCATCAATGAGCAATATTTTTTTTTTCATAGGGATGTATGTACATTGGATCCTTGGCTACAAACTTCGTCCCCATTCTTCTGCTAGAATTACGTAATGGTTGAATTTTATTTTCAAAGAACTATTTTGCCTATTTTTTTCTAAGATAAGTGTAACCAACCTTTTTTCTAATAAAATGCCTAATTATGACTAAGTTCTTCTATTACCTAGCAGTGAAACACACCTTTTAATTAAAATTATATGAAAATTGGTATTAAGGGCTCTTATTTTCATATAGTCGTAAAACTGAGCGACGTCGGGTACTCTGCTAGTACTTATGTATAAAACAAATCGAAACTAATTTTTTTCAATCGAGTTATTGAGCATTGTACCACGATTTGTTTGTAAGGAAAAATGAAAACAAATTTTTTTTCAAATCAATATGTATGCCAAAAGTTAAAAGGCGACAAAGTAATGAACCTTATTTGCATAGTCCCTCTGGATGATCGACAGCACAATATTTGAAGAGTTTTAATTTCAATTTAGTCAAAATGTAGAAACTGTACTCATAATTTCTAATTTTTGCTTTATTAAATTAATCTACTGTCATTCTATTACAGATTGCGCTGCTTATTGCATTTAATAAATACCGGCGAAATTTCAAATGATATTTTGCAACGCAACCTTCATTATGCGGCACGCGTGCTCGAAGCTGTCTTTCTCGACGAGTCCAAGTAAGTATTTTTGTTTCCGAACTAGAATTGTTAATCAGCTAAATCGTAAACTAAAGTCGTCTTAGAAAGAAAATAGTTTCTTTCTTAAATGATGAAAATATGTTTTTAAAAATTACATGAATCAATCAAAAAACAGTCGAAAGCATTTATATTAGGAATCATTCGAAAACTACTGAAGTGCAGAAATGATCCAATGATGAACAAAAATATCTAACTAAACTATGCAAACATATCGCTTGCTTAGAGTGAAAAGGATAACTTTTTTTCCGTGTCAATTCAACGAAAAGCAAATTTGCTATGTCCAAAAGGGACAGAGGAAATTCGATAAGGCCAAAATAGTACGAAATATTTTAATTAACATCGAATTCTTCTGATTCGTACGGAGTTTTGCCTTGCTTTAAACGCGCAAAAAGGTTTATTCAAAGTCTTGCAAAATACTGTAAGAAGTGTTTTCCTCTCCTATAAAATTTGTAAAATATGGACTTAGCAACTTTTCACTCTAAGCTGGCAATATCTGAAATACTTATGCAAATGTAATTTAATAAAAATCAATTTTCGTTGAACTTAGGCTTATAGCCCAGTTTTTTTACTGACAAATGTAAACTTGTTCGTATGTTTTTCCGTTTAAAAAACTGTGACAAGAATTTTTCACTGGCACAGAATAGAACCGTTAAAACGGATCATTTCTGCCACTTTTAAAATCGAAAAAATTAAAGCAGAATTCACTGATCAGTGCATTCGTAGTAATAAAGTTTTTCCAAGTTTCTAGATTTTCAAAATGATCATTAATTTGCGCCATGTGTTGGAAAAAAGATTTCACCAAATTTTCAAACCGAAATTACACATCATAGTTTAACAAACCAAAGCTTCTTTGAAATCAGGCCAATCGACATAAGAAATTCCGCACTCACCTCGATGCCATACTCATTGGCTGCAAGATGCCATAGTCAAAACCAAAAAAAAAATTAGAAAGTTATTTTAATACAAAAATCACACAAGTTGAACGTTCAGCTGGCTTGCGTAGCTTTTTGTAGAAAACTAAGCGCTTAAAGTCTTGCAACAAATGAGCTTTTGTTAGGTGCTTCATAGGCGATTACAGTATAATTTTTAAGTAGGTACTTTTGAATGGTTCTGAAGCGTATTAGGTAAACCTGAAAATATGTTCAACTATTTTAGCACTTCAATTGAGTAAATATACATACATAAATATAAATTTCTTCGCATCACTGTGTGTTTCACTTACATACCAAAAGATCCATAAATTTCTTCACTACTGTTTCATCCACCACTCATCTCACCTTCTCGTCTCATTTTCATTTTATAGGTGTTATTTATTATGTAATAAATGTTAGGTGTTCAAAAATCGTATTTAGTAAACTAAAAAGCTTCAACAACTTCGTATGTTGATGTACGGTTAAACAGGAGTTTTCACTGAATTTGTTTCGAACTTTCATCCAAAGTAAATGTGAAAGCTTTTTCATATGATGTTTTTCTTGTTATATGTACTTATGTGTATCAGAAAAATGTATTTAGTTTTTATTACTAAAATGAATGTTCAAACAAAATTTGTAATATCAAAATTTTCCTGGACTTTTTCTCCATTTTCTATTCATTTGTGTGTATATTTACGTATACATACATATGTATGTATGTATATCCTGTTTCCTAACTAAAACGAGAAGAAGATCATCTGCTTCTAATGAATGTTCCAAACGGGGATCTTCTTCTAAAATTACCGCTCAAACTTCTAATGCAGAGTAAGTCCTAGTCTGACTGACATACAAATCTACACAAGTATGTAGCTCCCCAGTTACACAAATAATTTTATGTATCAACATTTTATACTAAATGTGTATCATTTGATATTAAATCATTTTATATTCCACTCTGTATTAATAAATATAGGAATATCTATAGCTAAGTATGTTGTATGTATGAAATATGCTCTATTTCTTTACTTATGTGGCTTGGAATTACATTTTTCATATATCGTACTGCACCCTCATTCTTTCGTTCATTCATACATCGCAGCATTTTCATTTTCCTGCGCTTATAAGGTGCGTATCACAATTATAACATTTTTCTTTCTTGCCTCGCCAGTGCTTTGTAATTGTGATATACACTATACATAAATACTAAGGGTGGTACATATACAAACAAAAAAAAAGTTATATATACTTAAATGATAAAAATATATTTAAGAAATCAAGAATATTAACATCTTTTTGAATTGGTTTTCAAACAATTGTTTGATAGTGTAATGGACTTAGTATTCCAAAAGCGGCAATAAATAGCAAACCTTTCTCTACGTAGTCCTAGTTAAAACCAGCCAAAAATTTAAGCTTTCCTGGTATTGGTGGGAGTAAATGTTTTGTTGCACAATTTTCTAGAAGCATCTCTGCACCGAAAATAAAGTTTTTAAAAAATTTCGCTGACGCCTTTTTGCCAGTTAGGGCTCGTTATGAGTATATTGGCTGCAACGATATTGTGATCTGAGTCGATGTTTGGTCTTCGGATCGTACGCACACGATCGACTTGGTTCCTCGTCTTTCGATCTAAAAGCAGCCATGTAGCTTGATCAAACATTTTATACTGAAATCCAGAGCTGCAATAATATGAAAAGGATCAGCCTCAGTCTATTATCGGACGATGGAACAAAAGACCTTGACCACCCTGGCATTGAAAGTACAGAGCACGATTTTGTTCCCTGTTTTTTCCCTACCTTGCCCGGTCCATCGCATTTCTTGGATGGCGGTAACACCTGCCTTGGTCTTCCCGAGGACGTAAAGCAGTCAGGTAGAGACATCTTACCCATTAAGGGTCCTGATATTTCGATACAGGCTTATTATGCGGGGCGGGTTCCAAACCCAGCGCGCACCTATAATTGTGTTGTTGGATACTTGTTTACACAACCAGCCGCTTGCACAGGGCAGACACCCACTTTCTACAGCTACTAATTGCGTCAGGCGCTGCCGATTTCAGTGGGCCCTCAAACTGAATAAATCAGAGTAGTCCAACTAAGACTTATTATTTGTATTTCTGCCATGGCCCAAGACCCTACACGTGTTGGTTACCGCATCTTGTGCATGGGTTACTCGCTTTTTTTTTAAGAGTATTGTATTTGTACCACACCTTGTTATTTGGTCATCAAACATCAAAAAAGATTTTAAGTGAGTTTTGTAGGAAAGAAAGCAATAAGCACTAAGTTTCACGTGACTTTGATGTTTATTACTTTTATAAATTTTAATACAAAAAAGCGTTGTTAAATGAGTTATTTAAGCTGCAATAATTTCTGAATTATCTTTAATGAGCGCAACACAAACACTATATAAGGATATTACAAAAACATATGCCAAAAAGCAGCATTTCCTTATGAATAACCTACTTAAATACTTTTACACTAGTACTTGGGTTCGAATCGTTGCTTTAAACAAATTATTTCTCTTGCCTAAAACTCACTTAAAATTTCTTGCATTTAAATGGCAATTTCAGTTTTTATGCAATTGACACCTAGAATACTGAAAGATGAATAGTCCTTAAAAATGATTAGACTTTAGTGCAACAAGAATACGATATGTACCTAAATATGTATGTAATTGTATGTAGCGCTTTAGGCTCTTAGCATTTAACTAATTAAATGATTTCAATTTATTTGCTCTCTGCTCGTGAAAGGCCTTGAAATGCCACTGAAATTTATCGCCCTACCCCTTCTAACTACTTTGTGATTTATTTGTGTATATATAGTCGTATGTATGTAGATGTTCAAATGCAAAAGTGAAACTTTTTGCAGAGTTCTGTCAAAACTGCACGAAATTCAATTGAATTCCATTTCAGTTAAACTGTAGTTAGCCGCCCAATCAACCAAGAAAATGCGCAATTTAATTCAAAGTGTGACACAAAAGCAATCCATAAATTGGCAATGACCCGCAGGCAGTTTTGACAAAGTTCTAAAAGTCCAAAAAAGTTTAAGTTAACAAAAAAAAATATTGTACAATGAATTTTCAACCACTTATCCACTTAGGAGGCACTCAACTTTATTAAATGTGATTTCCGTATTAGAATTATGTACATATTTCTGGCGCTGTCATTCTACGAAAAAAAAAAACTTTAGCGTGTTGTATAAAATAATATTTTTACATACATACATACATAAGTGACAGACGTTAATAGATAAATGGTTATTTTAGTTGTACTGATCGACAATGCCAAAGTTCCTGCTGGTCTAACAAAAAAAAAACTTTGACAATAAAAATAGTATGATTATATTTTCAACTCGATTTAAGTATTAGAATGTTTGAAAAATTCTATAAAATAAATTATCAATGGAAGTTTATGTGTATGCACTTATGCGCTCAACTCTACGAAATTTCTCTCCACAAGCTCATATCTACCCACCTTTGTACCTTCGTACATTCTATACTAAGTGAAATTTGAAGCATGTCCCTTTTTTCACTTCGGACATCCCTTTTACATATATCTTGAAAATGCATTGTCTACTTTTCAGTACTTACTTCGTTTGCAGAGGACAAGCTCTTGTTGCACTGCCCTTACTTCTACCTACTACTCGCTCTTTTTCTGCCCCTCTATATATCTCTCTCTTACTATGTTTCTTAGTTTTCTAAAACTATAAACTATTTTGGTGAAAATAGTCAATATTATTCCAAACAAATCTGCATAAAGTTTAGTGAACGCCATACATTCTGTGCTTAGACTTTTCATGGTTTGTTCACTTCAGAATCAACTTCAACGTTCGCATTAACTTACATACATAACTACATATGTATAGTGTATTGTCTCTTCATACTACATTACCATACATTACAATAATACATACATACATACTCGTAAATACATTTTTCATGGCACATCTGTAAATACAACGTTTTGCTGTCAAAGTTCAACATCTTTTTTTATTATTACTTGTAAAATAAGCAATGGTACCTTTCTGCAGAAGCTATTGTGGATATACATATGTACATATATAGAAGTGGTAACCTAAG